TCTTTGGGAACCAAACGTGCAACAGCAGAAAACAATTCAAGAGCCACTTTAAATTCCAACTCTGCGATCTTGTTCTTGATCATCTCTCTCAATTCCGGGCGATGCAGTTCAGGTTTTGCTGGAACCGCTTTCGGCATTGCAGGGACACAAAATTTCGGTCTATCCTTTGGAATGACCTCCCATGTTGACACACTAGGCTCACCTGAGGGGCTAGGGTTTACCCGAAGCTTTCTTGCAGTAGCGACTGCACCTTTCTTCTTCTTCGGACCCTTTGATGCTGAACTTGATGCAGCACCACCGCTGCCTACAGCCATCTTTTCAGCCTCCTCCTCAACAAGCTTTTGCCTATCCTTCGGACTAAGCATTTTCCAAAAATCCGATGGGATCGACTCAGGGCGTTTTGACCCTTTGTACGTTTTCACAAGGCGTGTGCCGTCCCAATGATAACCATCCGGGATTGGAGTACCAGTTGGAGTGTACTTGATATCAGGAAAAACTGGTTCTTCAGCCGGCCTTTCATCACTGGCAAGTGCGTCAAGCACTGCCTCCGTTGACTTGTCAATTGCTGCTTCACTTTCTTCTACATGTTCCTCTGTTTGCAATTCGGATTGAAACGGAATCGGACGAGGATCAGCAATGACATTGTCGACTAGGCGGTCCGGCTTGGGCTCTTTGGCCTCTTTCAATGCACGGAGTGGGAAGACAAAACCTCCCGCGATGAGCTCAACACGTCGTGCTCGCTGCACTGTGATGCTGCCCGTTTCTGCATGGTAATCCAATGCTTCTAACTTGGCAACAAGATACTCACCCTTCCATGCAAAACCAGGTTGAATGTGGTATCCCAAAAAGATTCCATCATTTGCTGTTGGTGATGTCTTTCCAGATGTGTTGTCAACCCTTTTTGGATTGTTCCAAAACAGTATCTTTGCACCGAAAGGAATCAACTGACCTGGAAAATCTTCTTCGAATCTGAGTTTCCATGGGGCATCATCACCGTTGAGCTGTGGCGTGGCATTCACTGCCATGGAGAAATGCTGCATAGCCATTGGCCAGTACTGCAATGGAAGACCTGACTGCACGAGGTTAGTGCGTGTGCCTTCAAGCATGTGTCTGATCTCCCTCTCCACAAACGATTTTGAGCTGTCCACATACTCGGTTGATGTTTGATGTCTGTACCCCAATTCTGAAATTGTAGCAATAAGCTCTCGTGAATTGTCGGTGTAAACCGCCCCAACTTCATCCTTGTGAGATAAGAAGTGGTTGAAAGCATTAACACATGATTCGCTCGATTTTGTCTGGCTTGGATAGACGTGTCTGAACTGAGTATGAATGTCTTTCATCACCAATGCCACTGTTTCACCTTTGACGCCTTCTTCCACATTGGATTTGATTACAGTATGGTCAGCGACAATGTGGTCCCCAAAACTTTTGGTTTCCAACCTTTTCTGTCCCCCTTTCTTCTTTGCGGGTGGCGCCATCATGCGCGCCTTCTGACAGATCTTGCAAAATGGATTCTTGGGGTAATGGCAAAACTGGTGAGACTTACTGCATGCCTCTTGCTCAAGGTCAGATGCCTTTCTAGACCTGACGTATTCGGTTTCGCTATCATGAGCTACTCCCTCGTCCACGCCTTCTTCATCGGCACCTTCTGCTTTTGCAGCAACCATTGCAAAAAGACGTAACAGATCACAATCTTTCTTGAACTGTCCACTGTTCAAAACACGACAAGAGCTATCGATGACCGGCACACGGCCGTCTACATTAAGCTCAATGACTCCCATGTCCGGACGAATGAAGTAAGGCCTACCATCAGCTGGCCACACAAAACTGTAACCCTGTTCCATACACCTGACCCCAACCGAAAGAACAGCAGGAGTTTCCTCAAGAATGTATGGTGAAAACGGCTGATGTAGGGCATCGACTTTTACGTCGGCCACCTCATCCGCTCGCGTCGAACCGTTTGCTGTAGCAAGGCTGATCGGAGTATCGCTGATACGGCGGTTTGTCGCCTTTGCGGTCTTCAGCATACCCTCACTGATCAAATCCTGTTCACTGCCCGTGTCAACCAACCAAACACATCCATCTTTTGATGCAGGTGTAGCAACAGTGGGCAAATGAGTGTTACTGACTTTGTTCTTGGGACCGATCATTGCTCTACAGTGGTTGCATGATACTCCCCCTTCTGGGTCATTGCATCGGAATCGGCACTTGGGCTGCGTCTCACTGCCGAAGAGCTTCACAAGTTCCTGCAACTGCCGGGCCGAAACCTGAGCACGGTGAGCCACGAGTTTGTCGGGTTTTGGCACTGACTCTGAATCAGGGAACGTCTTCTCATAGATTCGGGGTTTGTGCACTACCTTCCTCTGTTCACCTGTTGCTGGGACTTTGATGTATTCCACTTTTGATGAAAACACAACGGCTCTATGGCATTGTTCCTTCATGGCCTTTGTAGCTTTTGGCAACCCTTTTCCCTTTGCTATGCATGCATACCTTTGAGTAATGCATGGCGCAGCTTTTGCACTGGCCTTCTTCTTTGGTGCAGGGCTATTGGTGCGTTTTGGATCCTTTGTGGGTGCAGCTGCAACTTCATGTTTGTAAAAACATTTGTCACCACGACGACATTTGCCCTGTTGGAAGTAAGTGCATGGGATCTTGGCCATCTCTTCCTTCGACTTTCTGTTGGGGGAACCACTTCTGCTACCACCTTTGCCCTTACCCTTTCTTTTGGGGGTACCAGATCTTGAGGAATCTTTGACATGCTTGTAGGGACAGTCTTTACCCTTTTCACATTTGCCATCCCTGAATTTGTAGCATATCTTGTCCCCTTTTCCACTCTGGCTACGGCCACGGGTTCGACCTCGGTCGCCCTTTCCTTTGCCGCGATCTTTGCCCCCCTGAGCGGGTGCAGCGGGCTGAGGCTTTTCGGTCTGCTTGTTCTTTTCAACGATTCTGTTTCTGTTTGAACGGAGTCTTTCTCTATCCAAAAGATCACGAATGTTTCTCAACAAGAATGCATAAGACTTTTGTTCTGACTTTTCAGGAGCTCTGTCGAATGCTTCAATGTCATACTTCATCAATTGACATTTTCGGATTTGTCTGAGTAAGATGTCTCTGAGAACCAAATCATCTGGTGGGGTTTCCATGCCGGCAATTGTGGCGTCCCATCGGTTCAAAAACCTTCTAAGGTCCTCCACAGATTCTCCAGTGCGAACGACTCCAAGTAGGTCCTCGACGCGGTAGAGACTGCCAGCTTCCTCAGACGTCCTGAAGTAATCTTCAAACATCAAAAGGACTCTCCTACCTCTGACTTGGATCCCATTCTTTGACTTCTCATCTTTGAAGTTATGGATCTTTGTCGCTAAATCACCTTTGGCTGAGCGAGTTAACGCTGCCGACAATTTGGTGTCAAGTGTGATAAACTTCCCAGGATCCTGCAGCTTTTCCTCCAACTTTTCCCTAGGGGTTTTGTTGTCAAAGACTTCATTTAGCCAAAGCCAAGCCTCATCGGGTTTGTCGGAGCACGATTTCACTTCATCCCTGACATGATTACGCCAATGACGATAAGCTTCTGGGGCAGGCATGTCATTCAGTTTGATAGTCTCTGCCTCTTTTGTTCGGGGCTTTTCACCATCTGAATCCTTTGAAGTCAGTCTAGTGATGAGATCTAGCAATTGTTGACCTGAAAGACCTAAGCCTGCTTCAGCTGCTTTCTTGCCAGGGTCGCTTGCTATGACTGTAGGACTGGGCACACTATGATCTTGGTTTGCATCATCATCATTTTGTCTTTGAACTGGCAATGGTGGAAGTTTTGGAGGGGCTGCTGATCCGGCAGGGGTTGTTGAGAACAGGTTGCTCAACCTTTCCTTAGCGTCCATGGCTAAGCTACTCATACCAGTGTTTGGCATGGGTTCTGCTCCAGCCTTGGTACCGACCGCTGATTTTGGGGTCATGTACAAATCGACATTATTACCGCCTTGTGCATCATCAACTTCGACGGCTCTGTCGACACTGATTTCCGGGGCGCTGTACTTGTTGAGCTTCTCCATCAAATCCTCGACTGGTCCCTGCAATTGGAAATTGAGTTCAGCAGCTTGGTTTTCCTGCCTACTGCATTCCTCTCTAATCTCCTGAATTACAGCTTGTTCCTCCTTCTTGAAACCTTCCATGCCATTCTTTGCATACTCCACTGTTTCGTCCACGATTCGTTTACAGTCTGCCTCGAGGCTACCTCTGAGTTCAGAAAACCTTTGTTCATACTGGGCTGTAACGTGTGCTACCTTTTGGTTGGCTCTTTGTTCAGCTTCCAGTGCAACTGCATTTGCAGCATTCTTTAGCTTTGCGTTTGCATCGCTAAGTTCCTGTCTCAGTTTTGCTACCTCATGCTCAGCTGCCGTTTGGGACACTGAATACTCTGACACTAGGTGTTCATGTCTGCGATCCGCTTCTGCACGTTGATGGGCGATTTCGCTAAGGCAAACTCCCTCAAACTCTTGATACAGTTGCTGGACCTTTTGCTCCATGAGATGTGTGTGCCTCTCCTCCGCCTCTTGCCTGAAAGCATCAATGTTACCTTCGTTGATATAGGTAAGATTGTTTTGCACGAACTGGAAATATGCTTGCACGGGCTGTGTGAAGAAACCTTCATCCACTGACATGGGCGTGGGGTTTGTCCCAGCCGGCAAGCTTTGTTGTGATCCAGTTGTTGCAACCGTTGCTCCAGTCGAGGGGACAAGGGCGCCTCCACCTGAGGTGTCACCAGTTGTCCTTTCCATGGCTTTACGAGACTACGGCTGATAACCTGTATTTTCAGGTTTCAGCTGGGTTATAACTATAATCCCAAATAGACTGATAAACCTAAAGGTGGGGAAAGAAAACAACCGTTAAGCGCAGCAACTCAACCCTTTTAGCCTGAGCCGCATAGCTGTAATATGCATCTATCATACATGTGTGTTTTATGTGAGGTGATTTTACAAAACCTGCTCAGACTTCAGGCTCCATGCCTGTCCAATGCTGGCAGCCCCCAAAGGTTCCTGATCTATTTGATCAAAGACCTGTTCACGGTCAGGAGTCCATGACTGCAGAAATCACATTCCATTCCATCAAGCTGCTGCCAACGTACCTGCACTGCATGGCTAGCTTTCATCACGGCCCTTTTTTGCCACCCAACCGTTGGCCTGATTGGGACCCGCCACAGAGCACAAATTGCCCCTTCTATTGAGAGGACTCGATGCCAAATTCTTTGTGTGGGGGGGGCTCTGGCTTCAAACACACGGGCGCGCTCGAGAGTCAAACCGACCCAGCGTCATCCATTCTGATGAAAGCAACACAAGTCCAAGCAACTCCAAGTGTTTGCATCATTTTGCATCCATTCCATGCCATGAGAGACTCCTAAAAAGCAATACATGGCATGTCTCTGCCACTGCAGCTTGGGATTCGGATTCACCCGTGATTCTTATGCCGCAACTAACGCGGCAAGCAAACCAGGATTTAAGCAGCTAGCAATTTGCCGCTGGCTAATTGCAATGCCTGGATGCAACGATGCACCAAGTTGCTTCAAACCGTTCCACTGTGTGTTTTCATGATATACATCCGTTGGCAGCATCGTGACCTTATCTTAAGCACTCGAATGCAGGGAGAATGCTCATCTGAACGATAATTCGTTCACTGGCTTGATTGAAAGATATTGAAAGCCTTTCAGATCCTGCAGTTTCACACCCAGAAACAGTTTTGAAATGTTACTTGTATCAGTGGCCGTTATCTCATTTTCTGCAGGATCCAGCCACAAGACTTCCAACAAGTTATCCCTCAAGACATGAGCTGCACACACTGCACGCTTGAAGAGGTGCAGATCGGCCGTCGATTGGCCCATATTTTGGTGATACCAAAGAAATCAATAACACGGAGTGGGACGGAGTCCAACATCCAGTAACATCCAGCAACACGGACGAAGCTAGAGGCAGGCTCAGAGAAAACCTTGAACTAACAAAGCACTTGGCTGATGTGTCCAGCCAACGAGAATGAGCCTGCAAAAATTCCTGAGCATCAATGGATTGATTCTGGGAAAATCATGGAAAATCTAGACGAGGACCATGTATCCTTTCTGCCAAATAGAGGGGATTCCTGTAAATCTTCCCTACAAGTTAAAGGGAGAGGAAGAAGAAAATTGAACTGCGAGGCAGCAAACTGGCGAAGTCACACGTCGACGTGCACTCACAAAGGTCCCACGTAAAAATGTCTCCAAGACTGGAGAAGGCCAAAATATGCCATGGGTTTCCCCTGGATCCTTTTGGTGGGATCCTTCTAATGTACTTCCATGTACTTCCATGTACTTCCATGTACTCCATGTACTTCCACTGCACCTAATATTGTCAATCTATTTCTGCCCAGCTTCAGATGGAAAGCTTCAACTTTGGCAATGCTTTGCTTGACTCGCGGCTGCGCGTTTTTGAGCGCGTACCTGACACTGCCATTACATGCATCACATGCATCACATGCATCACATGCATCACATGCCACAGCGTAACGAAGGTCTGCATGATCACAGTCAGCTTCCTGGCAGAAGAGCTCAAAATATATATACTGAGAATTACTGAGATATTCCACGTTCGTATTTGCCCTGGAGACTTGCGAGCCTGTCGCTTGTAAAGGATCTGCTTGGCCCGGACATCTTCCTCCAGTCATTCTGCGATCAAAAAACTGCAGAACTGCCGTGCAACACCAAGACAGCGATACGACTTCAAGTCCCAGGCAGAAGTGCAAAGATGACAAAATTCGCAGGCATCTCCCTTTTGACAACCATCCGCCTGCAGCGACAGCCCGTGAAGTTTAGGCCACTCCAAACTTACATCGTCGAAGATTCTAAGATTGTCCATGTCTACGACTCGAGTCTGTGTGGGCAATTTTGATCAAAAGGGGTCGGAATATGTCTGATGTTCGAATGGCATTCCAGTGAATCCATGTGAATCAGAGGGCCAGAGGGCCCCATTCCGTCCTACCTTCATCCTGAAGTACGCGCACGGGCGACACTGACCAAGCTGATGCAAAGTCATGTCCTTAGCACAGGCCCATTTGCTCCTTCTGTCTCGAAGTGAGTGGCTATGTGAATGTACGAGTACGGCACAGATTCTGCAGCCTGCAAAGTTTCAGGACAAGCTTCAGCCGCCACTTTCTCGGGAACATCTGTGGAGCACCTTTGAGAGCAGAAGTCATGGAAAAACTGACCTACTTGATGCCATTTGATGCCATTTGAGTCATTAAAAACTGCTTCACTCTCCTGCAATGCCACCCAATGGGTGTACTGATCACGTGGCTCAACTTGAGCTTTGCACGATGTCGTGCCACACTCCTCTGAGTTTTCCTGAGTCTCTGAATGTGCCAAGATAATTCAAAGTGGATGTCTACGGAGCCCATTGTTGCACCGTTGCACCTCACTTTTCGTCAAGACTGCAGTTACTGAGAGACCAACAACATTACATGCATCCGCCGCGGAATCTGAAGCTTCAGGTTCAACAGCGCAGTTTGCTATCTCCCCAGGCTCCTCGTTCTGCCGGGCTGTAGGATGCCCAAAGATTTTCCAAGGCGACAAGGTAAGTCCATCATCTAAAAGTCTAAGCTCGAGCGTATCCACATGTTACGTGTACTTAGTACTTGTGGCAATCAAACATGGCAATCCCCGTGTATTGTCAGGTTTGATTACAGGATTGTATCTGAATGCGTATATTGTGTTGTTTTCAGGCGTGGTCTAGAGCACATACGCAGTACACGCAGAAGTTGAATTCAGCTTCTGCCTGGCCTGCTCCTCACGAACTGTCCCTGCCGTCCTGGAGAAATCTGACCAAGACAGAATATGAAAACTGCATGGAAGAAACATCCCAACAAATGCAGCAGTGCGACCAATTTCTTCACCAAGTTGACCAAGTTTTTCCAGAGCCATTCCTACCAGTTGCTGATCGAACCCTCCTTAATTCAGGAGGTGAAGATGCCGTTCTGCGGCTTTGGCTAGCTTTGCGCAACCTGACTTCCAAAAAAATGGCAAAATCATGCAATCCCGGAAAGTGCCAATGGCTACATAACAGTTGGCTGTTTGAAACAAGAGCCATGCAATGTAGGTCTCCCCGACAGCTGCAACGGCAATGACTGGCTTTTCAAAGAACACAGCTGAAGACTGCTGAATCCAAGCTGCAAATCTTCATCTTCCTCAAAATGAACAAATGTGTTTCGAACCTGCCAGGTCGAGTCATTGAACCTCCCAGCGTCATGAACTGATTACATGTAAATCATATAGTGATTACATGACATCCCAGGAGTCCCAGCCGGTGCCTCTACCGGCCGGACAGGAATCAAGCTCGCTTTCCAATCCACGAATAAAACTGTCTCCGCACCTCAAAGTCGACACCACATTCGTTTCATCAAACGGCAACGCCCACGCCGTGTCACAATTTCTGCTGCCGGTGCTGTCCCCCAATGCGGGTGTAAGGCACCAGTCTCTCGACGCGGAGCTAAACTTCCTTTCCAGTCGAACTGAAAATTTTCCATCACCTTGGCGGCTCAAATGAGACGAGACCAGCAATTGCTGTAAAAGGTTCGTGGTCCAAGTTCAGACCTATGAGGGACACATCCGTCTTCGGATTCAATGCATGTAGTTGTCTTTGCCGAGAGTCGACCGAAGCACGGCTTATCGCCACATAATTGGCAGGGCCCAGGAGTGGTTTGTTTCTGTTATGTTTTGTTGGAGTTTTGTTGAAATTCAGAGACTCAGGCAGTTGTTTTCTTTGTCAGAAGGCCTATGGTGGAACCTGGCTGGCATTGTTAAAAATAATATGTTCTCAAGCACTGGCCTGATCATGAGTGCCTGCGGTAGGATCACAATTGCTGACCGCCTACTCATCTTAATTTTAATACATGTCACAAGGCTCATGTTGAGCAAACCATGCTGTGGTCCGAATTCCACTGCCAATGAATCCACAGCACAATTTTTATAGATTAGTTACCTCATTAGTTTTACATTGCAACTTCGTGGAGTACTGACTGGTGCCTCTGCAACAGGAGCACCGAGATCCCGCTCCAGCACATGTCCTGAACATGGTCATACCACAATGGAAATCCTGTGGTACATCAGTCATAAATCTCTATGGATGATCATCCCCCAACATGAGTATATAGTCATATATAGTCATAGTTGGTCATATATAGTCATATATAGTCACATTTTGTCATATATAGTCATATATAGTCATAATTGGTCATATATAGGCTTAATTGGTCACATATAGGCATAATTGGTCAAAAATAGTCCTTTATATATAGTCATATATAGACCTAATTGGTTATATATTCGTATATAGTCATCATTGGTCATATATAGTCCTACATGTAGTCATATATAGTCATATATAGTCATAATTGGTCATATATAATCATAATTGGTCATATATAGTCATATAGTCATAATTGGTCATATATAGTCATAATTGGTCATATACAGTCATATATAGTCATAATTGGTCATATATAGTCATCTATAGTCATATTTAATCCTATTGTCATAATTGGTCATATATAGTCATATAGAGCCAAATATAGTCAAATATACTCCTATAGTCATAACTGGTCATAATTGGTCATATATAGTCATATAGTCATATCTAGTCGTAATTGGTCATACTTGGTCATATATAGTCCTATATATAGTCATTTACAGTCATAATTGGTCATTTATAGTCATATATGTAGTCATATATAGTCATAATTGGGCATATATAGTCATATATAGTCGTATATATCACAAACTTCGGAATGGCGACCAGCTTGTGGGGAGATTAATTTGTAGGGATTTTTGGGCATCTCAAAAAGTACTTTTTGAGCTATTTTGAGCCAAAAGTGACTCGTGCTAGCATCGTGATAACATCAACGTGTTTCACAGGTTTGAAAACGTGACATTGAACAACTTTGAACCCAAAAACCAAAAAATGAACCTTTGAAATGAAATTTGGTATTGCGTTTGTGTGTTTTCATTGGTTTTTGTTCAAAGCTTGAACTGACATGAAATATGGTGTTGTCATTGTTGCCGTTGTGAATAGCCTTTGTCACTTGGGTCAATTGTCATGAGGCTGCCACCTAACATGTGAACACGAACAAGTCAGCAACTTCAAAAGTAGAAAAAATGAATATTTTCAAGGGAATAACATTTTTCATTCGTTGGGTAATGTATAAAGTTTGATGTTTGATCGCTGCGCCAGCATAGAGTCACATTGCCAACACTGGCCAGCACCAAAAAATATTTACACATATGTCTTATGTACGCAAGCAGAAATACATGTGTAAACAAAAACGCTTTTTTAACGCTACCATGTGTACGCAGGAAATGAAATATACAAGCAGAACATAGATATGAAACGTTTTTATATAATAAAAGCGTGCTTTTACAACAGTATCTAACCGTGAACATTGTTGAATATCTACTGGCATACCTGTTTACACTTGAGTGTATACATGCATACGGTTGTGGACCTGGAAATTGAAAAGTCAATATGTGTGGACGTGCACACATACCTATCCTTTGAAAAAGGCACTAACTAATTAGCATTTATGTTTACAAACCTTAATTACGATGTGTTTCCTTAATTGAGGTTTGTTCTTCAGTAATTGAGGTTTGTTTGCGCAAGAAACAAACTTTAGTTAAGGGAACAAAGTTTCAGTGGAGACTGTGGTTTTGTAAGGTTTGTTTTGAAGGCTCGTTTTTTGACACATGTTGGCACACATGTGTGATTCTGCGTAGGCATGCAATGGGCAAAAGGAACATATATACACAAATGTATATATATATATATATATCCGCCGACCCCGGCTGCGCAAGGGGGAGCGCGTTAGGGAATAAGACAGCAGCACCCAGCCAGTAGCCAGCAGTCAATATCCGCCGACCCCGGCAGACGCAAGGGGGAGCGTGCCAGGGAATAATACTTTTGACTCTTGTTTCGGACTACTACTACTACTACTACTACTACTACTACTGCCATGGTGTTTTCCCATCCGGCAGGTGCCTTTTGAACAGAAGGAGTCACAGGAGCAGGAGCAGCAGCAGCAGCAGGAGGAAATAGAAGGTGTTTGACAAGACGGTTATCATCACAAAGGCAATTCTTTTTTTTTCTAGGATTTCAGAAGGGACGTTAGGCACTTTTTGGGCTCGATTTTGGAGCGTTTTGGGCACGAAATTAGGTGGCGTTTCAGCGTTTCAAGTGGTGGCCATGAGCAGCAGCAGCAACAGGAGCAACAGGAGGGTTCTATGTCTCATTGCACAAACAGTGGTATAAACATTGGTCGAAAACTATAAACATTGGTATATTATTGTGATTGATTTTGCGTCATGTTCGGCACGAAATTAGGTGTCTGGCTGCTGGTTTCTTACTTTATTAGAGGCAGTAGCAGCAATCAAAATTAGAGATCAAATTGGACAAAATTAGATTTCTATTGGACAAAGTTGGATTTCTAGTAGGATTTCAGAAGGGACGTTTCGGCCCCCGAAAACCTATTCTTGTGATTGATTTTGCGTCATGTTCGGCAGGAAATTAGGTGGTGTTTTGCTGTTTCGGCTGTGTTTTAAAAAAGGTGTCTGGCTGCTGGTTTCTTGCTTTATTATAGGCAGCAGCAGCAGTCAAAATTAGAGATCAAAATTGGATAAAATTGGATTTCTAGTAGGAGTTCAGAAGGGACGTTTCGGCCCCCGAAAACCTAATATTGTGATTGATTTTCCGTCATGTTCGGCACGAAATTGGGTGGTGTTTTGCTGTTTCGGCTGTGTTTTAAAAAAGGTGTCTGGCTGCTGGTTTCTTGCTTTATTAGAGGTAGCAGCAGCAATCAAAATTAGCGATCAATCAAATTTGACTAAAATTAGATTTCTATTGGACAAAATTGGATTTCTAGTAGGATTTCAGAAGGGACGTTTCGGCCCCCGAAAACCTATTATTGTGATTGATTTTGCGTTATGTTCGGCACGAAATTAGGTGGTGTTTTGCTGTTTCGGTTGTGTTTTACAAAAGGTGTCTGGCTGCTGGTTTCTTGCTTTATTATAGGTAGCAGCAGCAGTCAAAATTAGAGATCAAAATTGGACAAAATTGGATTTCTAGTAGGATTTCAGAAGGGACGTTTCGGCCCCCGAAAACTTAATATTGTGATTGATTTTCCGTCATGTTCGGCACGAAATTGGGTGGTGTTTTGCTGTTTCGGCTGTGTTTTAAAAAAGGTGTCTGGCTGCTGGTTTCTCGCTTTATTAGAGGCAGCAGCAGCAATCAAAATTAGAGATCAAATTTGACTAAAATTAGATTTCTATTGGACAAAATTGGATTTCTAGTAGGATTTCAGAAGGGACGTTTCGGCCCCCGAAAACCTATTATTGTGATTGATTTTGCGTTATGTTCGTCACGAAATTAGGTGGTGTTTTGCTGTTTCGGCTGTGTTTTAAAAAAGGTGTCTGGCTGCTGGTTTCTTGCTTTATTATAGGTAGCAGCAGCAGTCAAAATTAGAGATCAAAATTGGACAAAATTGGATTTCTAGTAGGATTTCAGAAGGGACGTTTCGGCCCCCGAAAACTTAATATTGTGATTGATTTTCCGTCATGTTCGGCACGAAATTGGGTGGTGTTTTGCTGTTTCGGCTGTGTTTTAAAAAAGGTGTCTGGCTGCTGGTTTCTCGCTTTATTAGAGGCAGCAGCAGCAATCAAAATTAGAGATCAAATTTGATTAAAATTAGATTTCTATTGGACAAAATTGGATTTCTAGTAGGAGTTCAGAAGGGACGTTTCGGCCCCCGAAAACCTAATATTGTGATTGATTTTCCGTCATGTTCGGCACGAAATTGGGTGGTGTTTTGCTGTTTCGGCTGTGTTTTAAAAAAGGTGTCTGGCTGCTGGTTTCTTGCTTTATTAGAGGCAGCAGCAGCAATCAAAATTAGAGATCAATCAAATTTGACTAAAATTAGATTTCTATTGGACAAAATTGGATTTCTAGTAGGATTTCAGAAGGGACGTTTCGGCCCCCGAAAACCTATTATTGTGATTGATTTTGCGTTATGTTCGGCACGAAATTAGGTGGTGTTTTGCTGTTTCGGCTGTGTTTTACAAAAGGTGTCTGGCTGCTGGTTTCTTGCTTTATTATAGGTAGCAGCAGCAGTCAAAATTAGAGATCAAAATTGGACAAAATTGGATTCTAGTAGGATTTCAGAAGGGACGTTTCGGCCCCCGAAAACTTAATATTGTGATTGATTTTCCGTCATGTTCGGCACGAAATTGGGTGGTGTTTTGCTGTTTCGGCTGTGTTTTAAAAAAGGTGTCTGGCTGCTGGTTTCTCGCTTTATTAGAGGCAACAGCAGCAACAAACAGTGGTATAAACATTGGTCGAAAACTATAAACATTGGTATATTATTGTGATTGATTTTGCGTCATGTTCGGCACGAAATTAGGTGTCTGGCTGCTGGTTTCTTACTTTATTAGAGGCAGTAGCAGCAATCAAAATTAGAGATCAAATTGGACAAAATTAGATTTCTATTGGACAAAGTTGGATTTCTAGTAGGATTTCAGAAGGGACGTTTCGGCCCCCGAAAACCTATTCTTGTGATTGATTTTGCGTCATGTTCGGCAGGAAATTAGGTGGTGTTTTGCTGTTTCGGCTGTGTTTTAAAAAAGGTGTCTGGCTGCTGGTTTCTTGCTTTATTATAGGCAGCAGCAGCAGTCAAAATTAGAGATCAAAATTGGACAAAATTGGATTTCTAGTAGGAGTTCAGAAGGGACGTTTCGGCCCCCGAAAACCTAATATTGTGATTGATTTTCCGTCATGTTCGGCACGAAATTGGGTGGTGTTTTGCTGTTTCGGCTGTGTTTTAAAAAAGGTGTCTGGCTGCTGGTTTCTTGCTTTATTAGAGGTAGCAGCAGCAATCAAAATTAGCGATCAATCAAATTTGACTAAAATTAGATTTCTATTGGACAAAATTGGATTTCTAGTAGGATTTCAGAAGGGACGTTTCGGCCCCCGAAAACCTATTATTGTGATTGATTTTGCATTATGTTCGGCACGAAATTAGGTGGT